TCACTTTTGAAGGGAACAGATCGGATACTCTTTGCGAACAACTTGCAGACAACAACAACGACAACAACAACATCAACTTTTCAAAGATGCATACTGTGACAATGGTCTGCTCAGAAATAATTGCTCGACGTGAGGCGAAATGCGATCCCTTCATCTCTTGTGCATTCAAAAGCAACCACCTAAATAAACAGTAGCCGATAATGCGGTAGTAGTAAGGCGATGGTCGTAAACTTGAAAAAGGCACCTGTTCTCTCTGAGATCCAAATAAGTGACAGCTGGAAGCTTGGCTTTCAAAGCTAGCCAAGGATGGGCCAAAAGGTTGTGCGAAGGCAAACATATTTGATGCAAGAATTGTCCGCGTGAATGTTTTCGATGTCCTGGTCAGTCAGTTGGCAACCCTCAAGATGCAAGATCTGCAAAGTTCAAGACGAAATGAATGTCTGACCTCCGATTCCCATCTACCTCCAAATGTGGGTAGCTCCAGAGATTCCGAAGAGCCTCGAAGGCAGCCGTCCTATCGCTCTCACACGTAAATCGACCAGTGGACCCGACATAGCGAAGATGACAGACAATTTGATCTTTTATCCCGACTAATAGGTAAAAAAATTGTGAGCATCCCCTACATATCCATCCCATCCTCAGTCAAATTGATCAGTGGAACAAAGTACTCATTTCTACGTGCTCACATGGAAGGAATCAGTCAGGAAAATAGTGAGAATCTGCACAAAAATAAATTTTCTAGTGAAGAGCGAATACAGAATTAACTTGTAGACATGTATGCTAAAACACACGCACATTCTAGATAAGAGGCTAGCGAAACCAGTTATACGATGTATACTTCTCATCACATTTCATGAGGAACAAGGGACAGGCGCAGTAGTGCTGCCGAAGTACGCCACTTTCCACTTGAGAAATTCGCCCCCCCCCTAGAAATCAGAGCCCCCACGAAGACGACTAAGACGAATTCCTCCTCCTCGTGTGGTGACTGTGGCGAGTCGATCTCAGATGCGCAGTCGACGTCCAAGCACGGAGTAAAACTAGTAATGAGATTGATATTGAGATAAACAAAACAAAAAAACCACTTCTGCCCAACGTCCAACACTCCCTTCTTCAGCCTCAGGTAATCGAAACCCCTAACTTCAAAAAAACTAGACCCACTCAACTGTAATCCTCACACTCATCACGTACCATCTCCTCTCTCCACCCTTCATACGAGGGCTGATCAACATAAATGCTCTTCATCATCGGTTCAGTTGGACTCAGTCCAACTGAACCGCCTTAAACGTCCTCACTAAACTACCTATAAAACAAGGTAAAACTAACTACCCCTTACTCGGACAGTAAAAAGGTATCGCGATGGACATTAATACGAAATGACGACAAAAAACACAAAAAACAAAAAAGAACGAAGCGGAGGGGTGAACAGGGCGAATGATGACAACTGAAGTGTGACTGCAATCGATTTCGCGGGCATCACGTGGTATTTCAAAACAGTGGGTACTGTAGCAATATCGCGTCGGGACCCCAGCTCTGGCCCAGCCGCATCTAGCAGTAGTAGGCTGGGCGTAGCTTGGC